CCTTTTCCTGTCATGATGACGTCAAATTAATGTGCTCTGTTAGAAAGTCAGTCAGTTTTTGCACTGATATTTATAATTTCCAATTCAATGTTTCGATTCCAAGAGTTTTTATTTATTTTTAAATAATTCTAAGTGATTAGGGTTGAGGTTTGGGCTGACAAAATATATAAATACAAATAATATTTCTAAGAAACGAGTTTATTTCTCCGTAGAAAATCGTCAATTGCATCGAGAAACCTATTCGCAAAAAAACAGTAAAAAAAAGGGTCTGAAGAAATAAGTAAAAAAATAGAGAAGACTTGGCTGGCGCCATTTCGGTATTAAATTTTGTCCCTTTCACTATTATTCCTCTCAGTCCCCTCCATACTAATAATAATGAATATTCCTGAAGATTATTGATTCTTGAAAATGTTCTGTTGAAAGTTCATTGACGTGCATTTAGAGAAAAAGGCCTTATGGTTCCTTATAGACAGTGCTACCGTCTATCGGAATTCTAGAACATTCTAGATTTTTCTAGTAAATTCGAGAAAATTCTCCAGTTTGTTAACAAATAAATTAACACAAGTGTCAAGATACCTCACCTTTTCTGTTGCTAATCCCAAATTTTTATTCTGCTTAATTAATTCCAAGTGATTAGGGTAGAGGATTGGGCTGACAAAACAAATAAATACAAATGATATTTCTACGAATGAGTTTATTTCTCCGTAATACAATTTCTGTACAATCTCCTATTACCGAAAATCGTCAATTGCATCGAGAGACCCATTCGCAAAAAAGACAGTAAAAAAAAGTGTCTGAAGAAATAAGTAAAAAATAGAAGACTCGGCAGTCGCCATTTCGGCATTAAATTTCGTCCCCTCTCACTTCATTCATTTGCAATCTCCTCAATATTACTATTAATAATGAATATTCATTCAATATTTTCCTTGCATTTTTCGTGACCAAACTATACGAGTTGAGATAAAAAAAGAAACTCAAGAGAGCTGAGTTTTTTTTTTTTTTCAGCGGACAAGCAACGGTGGATGATGGGATTGAGAGGAAAGTCGAGTAGTGGAATGAGGATTCAGGGCGGGGGGAATATTGAAAGAAAACACTGAGCGTTAAGTAGGATCAGGCGCACAAGAGAGGAATTTTTAATTGCAAGTGTGACAGACGATATTCAAACTACATGAAAAAGAATATAATAAATTAAAAAAAAAAATGAGAAAACGTAAAGAAAAAAAAATTCCTTTTTCGCTTTCATATTTTTTGGTGCGAGCACATGAAAACTCGACAGTCGGGTAAGCTCTGTACGTGACTGTATACCTCGGGATTTTGCGATGGCAATTAATCCACCGTTTGAAATAGAAAAAAAAAAACAGATGTATGAAAATACCCGCACAACATGGCGGAGATTTGCCGAGGTAAAAACAACGTACTTTAATGATGTAAAAAAAGGGTAAATAATGTGAAACGTTGAGGCACAAAGTGATTGAGGATATATACGTGTCATGGTACAGAGTAGACTCGAAATCGTGTCGTGCTTACACGTATAGTCCCGTGTATGGGACGCACCTCAGGCTCGAGGACAAGCACGTACAGACGTGTAGATGCGTCGGGGGATAGGGACGTTGGGATCGTCCTCGAGCCCAATTTAACACTTTTACCTGTTTCTTTTTAAATCATCCTTATCATTCCTCAGTGCTAATACAAGAATTAAAAAAAAAACCATTAATTAAATGAATAACGGCTTTTATCCGATAATCGCGTAGCGCATTAATGTTAAAACTAACGAGCTTAATGGCAATCTCCATTGAGTTATGTTTGAACTGTCGAACCAGCCCCCTCACGGCTACCCACGTACCCGCGAGGGGGGCCCTACGGGCGGGCAGGCGCAGCGGATTTCAATTAACTCGATGAAAAGTGCTCCATTCCGTAACTATTTGAAAAAAAAAATAATAATAAAAATAACACTTGTCTGTTTTTCAATTTACGAAGAAATTGACAGGAGTCCACTGTAAACAATCATCGTCATCAAAACCTGTCACTTCAACTATCTCATCTACAATTATGGGTTAAATCTCGTACCCTCGCACCACGAAGCTTTTTTGTACGCACATTATAGTCTATACTCTTAACCTAAATATCGATTAACTTTATCATCTCATTTGTAATTCGTTAATAATAACATTACTCTCTCGTCGGTCCTCACTGTCTCCCCCGTTGGCCCCTATTTTCCCATCAATTACACCGTTAAATTCGTCAAAATTTTCACTGAAAACACTTGAAACAGCATTTTGCATCGCTGTACGGTTTAACTGACTCGTTCATTTATGTGGAATACGAGGAGAGTCAATATATGCTGGGATAAAACAAACGATAAACGTGCAAGCTGCATGGTAGTGGAGGGTCGGTGCGGGGGAGGGGGGGTTTTACCCGGTAATTGTATAATCCCTCCAGTACCATTTGTTCTGTTTGTCTTCAACGAGTGTATTCTAATCTTCAAGTTTCTCAATTAAATTGATGCTACGTGAGAGCGTTGTTTGACTTGTCGACAGATCCCCCCCTCCCCCTCCCTCACTCTCTCCATTACACGTTTACCTCATTCCCCTGTCCTCTTCGACTAGTGCAATTTCCCCTAGAATTTGAGAGAGAATGATTCAACCACTGGAATGCCGATATCAAAAGCGGTTTGAATTTTTTTTTTCGGTCCTATTTTACCTCAACTTATTTGATCTCGTTCTTTTTTTTCTTCATTTTTATCGTGGAATACTTTGAATCCGCGCATTCCCCTCACTCTTCTTTTTCTTAAGGAGGATAAAGCTACAAGAGGCGGTGGGTAATGGGCCGTTTCGAAGAGTGAGGGAAACGATGGNTTCTTAAGGAGGATAAAGCTACAAGAGGCGGTGGGTAATGGGCCGTTTCGAAGAGTGAGGGAAACGATGGAAACGTTTATCGCGCGATCGCGCGTGAATCTTCTCAGAAGCACGATTTACCCCCTCGGCCACCCCCTCCGCCCCCTCCCCCGCACTGGTTCACGTAAAGAGTTTTATTATAGATATAATGGGTATGTACGATGTTGCCCCTGCAGCATTCGTAGGGATTACTTTTATCAGTATTTTTTAACTCTATTTTTTGATGATTTTTTGCCATTTTTTTTTGTTATTTTCTGGGCCGATGGGCGACGTGGAGGGCACGGTATATCTGTATGTGCCTCAACTCCCCGACCCTTTTTCGTCTACTCACTGAGCCCGTTAATTAAAGGACTACCAGCCAAAATAATTATCATCCCGGGGTGGAAATTGCACTTTTCCCTGGTACCTCATACCGAAAATGCGGGGAAAATGGAAGTCGCACCGTCGACGAGAAACTATCGAGAGCCTACTTCCTTTCATTCAGTGCCTCATCCCCTCTGGGTGTACTCGCATCTTACGCTGGGTTCAACTTTTTAATTATACCAACCGACATTTATGGGATTTTTTTTTTCGACTCTTCAGGAATGTGCGGGGTGTAATCCACTTTTTCATCATTACGTGGTTATTTGAGATATGTTTTTGCGAGGGGTCGCGAGGGGATGGACGTTACAGAGAAAAATGTGTTGGAGAATTGTGGAAGGGGTTTAGTGATCGTTTTTTGCAGGAATTTTAACGGAAAATGCAATGTTTCTAGTGAATATCGCGATATTTTGAATTGAAGTGTTGAAATTTTTTGAATTACAATTCTGGAAGTTGAGTGGTCAATTTTCAACAGATTTATCTCTTCGTCTGAAGGACTGGGTTTGTGGTCAGACTCTAACGATAGAAGCGTCAGTTATTTTAATAGTGAAAGTGTGAAAAGTGAAATTTAACATTTCTTAATTGGAGAATTTTCGGGAATGCGGGGATTTAGGAGAATTCGTCCAAAAACCTTTTTGGTGGGAATCGAACTCTTTGCTTTCTTTGTTTTTTGGGTGTTGTAAAATTACCAGAAATCTAGTGCAACTACACCTTTCGCTACTCCACTATTTCACCGGCTTCAACCCACTTCCCCACCATTACCTATCTATTTAGCACATTTCCCTCGCCGTGCGAGTCGTGAGAAGACCATTGAGAGACAACTACTGAAATCAGAGACTAACGACAGAAGCGAAAATAACGTCAGTAGCAAAGTAGTGAACCGCAGCTTCAAATTCGCATGTTCACCAGTTCGAAAAACCCCAAAAACGAGTTGCTTCATCCAAAAAATGTCAGAAGTTTCTCTCCAAGAGACTCTCCAAGTCCCTCGCCCCGAAAAATTGCGTTTCACTACTCCCCCGCTGCTCCCATTCAATACAAAAACTTACAATAATGCAAAAATGTAATTATCTAGCGTGAGTCTCATGACTTCATACCATCATAATCACCACAAGTGTATCGCAGCGCTATCAACAGTGGAGCCCTGACAATGAACGAACAAAATCGACAGCGCAATATCACCGTCCAGCGCAATCAACCAAATTACAAAAGAATAAACTTTCATCGATAAATTGTATAGTGAGCATAAGCCTTGAAACGAGTTTAAATTGTTGAACCAGGTCAAGCGGTTCGTCACAGTGCGTGTTACTGGGTGGTAACCCAAGCGCAATGATGATCCAGCTCGACCTGAATTAAACTCCAGCCTGGGTTAAAAACACAAAAAAAAAAAAACTTGAAATAAAAAAAGTAGAATAACTAAATGAGTCGTTAGTGGTTCCACCGTAGCGTCCGCCATGTGATAATGCACTTGTGCACAAATGAGTCATGTACAGGTGCATTATCTGGACAATTTCGACTGCTGTCCCTGGCCCGGCATCGGGACACTTGGGGAGGGGCAGTGGCCGAGCGAATGTCCTTCATCTCGTTTTATAGAGTGATTATAAAAAATATATACCAGCCGATTCGTTAAAAAGGCACGATAGGTTTAAAATGATCCAGCGAAATAGTTATTGATACGATAGTAATCGCAATTTCTCTCATTCTTCATGTTTCGTTACTTCCTCACTCTATCTCTCTCTCTATCTCTGTTTAAAAACGCCGCGAGTAACCGGCGTCATATAACTTGCAGAGGCTGTCAGCACGACTCGGTATACCCGTATGCAATGCACCTGGTACTGACACCGATACCGATAGTGCCTCCTGGTGTTTTAATATTTGCTTGCGTCTTTGCCATGTAAATGTCCACGCAGCAATAATGATAATCTGAGCAACAATGAATAAAGCACCAGCTATGATGGCCTCAGCAACATTAACGCATAAACCGTAACGCCCGCTCAAGTCTACGATATCCTCACCCTCGACACCGTAAATGCTGTCACGCGGCATTGATGTACGATTGCCAGTGTTGTCGGATGATTTGTCTGATCTCTCGAAGCCAAATTTATCGGTTATTTGAATTGATTGCACTAGGAGAAGATCCTCCCGCGATGTTTGGGATGTTGTGTGACGTCGGCGACGACGACGACCAAAGCTTATCACTGAGCGTAGCTCACCGGTTGATTCTTCTTGGTCGCATTGTACTGGCTCACAGCTTGGCATACAGGGAGTCACTAGAGCACGGAATTGCACGACCTCGGAGCTTGGGAATTTGAAGGCGTCGAAGTGTGATAGCAGAATCTGAAAAATAATTTATATGGACATTTAATGGGCGGATTAGGTGCGTCTGCGGCGATTGGCAGTGGCGATACAGCTGATTTGACAACAGCTGTTGGTGGCAATGAGGAAGTGCATGAAAAAATGACGAAGGAATGTTCGAGGCAGGCTAATATGCGCCTGATTTTTCATCCGATGATTGATAATTCCACGCATGAGCATTCTTCATTCTTCTACTCGATACAGATGGAAAGAGGAGGATCCAATTCGCTCCCCGTGAAGACAAACTTCGTTTTGAGATGGATCACCTCAAATGGAGATTTTTCGAAGTCTTTACTTGAGACTTTCAGACGTCTCAAAGTAAGTCTTTAGAAAGTGTCTCTTGAGTTCTGATTTTCAAGTTCAGGCTGTCAGAACTCAACTTATAGGACAAATTTAAGATGAGATTGGGAAGAGTTCCAAAAGTCTTGACTTGAAGTATTCAAAAGTCTCAGTTTGAGTTTATGAAAGTCTCAACTTAAGACGTTGAAAGTCTCAAGTCAAAAGACCGTTTCCATAAGGCAGTTGATAACCGTAAAGAATATACTTCGATTTTGCTATGAGCCATCTCATCACTGAGATAATTACCCCTAATGAACAATGATTCTATTCTCGACTTGACTCTACCCGAGGAATACTTCAAAGCGTGATATCATAATCAACGACATTATGAGCCGTTAGGTTGAGTCTCGAACGGATAAAGAAGGTAGATTACTGCTAATCGGTTATGTTGAACACTCTGAATTCCAATCTGAGGTTCAGTTACTCTTGCGGTGATTAACAACAGCGTTAAAACAACTGATTTGGCTAATTGTTGGGTTATTCGGATAACGTGCAGGTGTATAAAAAAGTCAAGAGTCCGTTTTCATAAGGCAATTGACAACCGTAAAAAACCTGCTTCGATTTCACTACGAGCCACTTCATCATCGGGATAATTACCCCTAATGAACAATGATTCCATGCTAGACTTGGCTCTACCCGAGGAATACTTCAAATCGTGATATCGTAATCTGCGAGATTCTGAGCCGTTAGCTGAAGCCTTCAACGGGTAAAGGAGGTTTACTACCGATAGTTATTTATGTGAAACGCGAAACATTCTGAATTTCAATCTAAAGTTCTGTTACTTTTGCGGTGATCGGCAATAGCGCCAAAACAACTGATTTGGCTAATTGTTGAGTTACTCCGCTAAGAAGAAACTTTTATAGAAAAAAGTCTGATGGAGAGCATTCTCTGATCTTCAAAAACATCTTTCGGCATTTTTCACCGAACCTGTAATGATGCATGATTCCAGGTTTGGATACTCGCGAAATATCTAGCAACACAATTTCCGGATAACATGAAATTGAGCCTGACGATTACGAGAATTAATGACGGAAATGCGTGATGAGTTAGTCCCCCTCAATCCTCAACTTCCTCACAACTACCCTGGAATCCAGTAAATATAGCTTACATCATCGTGTACTTTTCATCATTAACTCCGTTGAAACCTGCCCCACTAGTTTTCATTTACAATCAGGTATTCCCATAACACTCAAAACGCCCAGCTATTCAGTATGTTTAAGCAAAAAGGTTAATTCCACCGATCATAAACCTTTAATATCCCGTGAAAAACGTGTCTAGCAAGTTGAAAAGGCAGCTGTTGGAGCAACTCATTGACAATGATAACTCACCTTTCCGGTAATACCAGACTTGTACAGTGGACCCATGATAAGATGATCAGTTGGACAGCCGTCAGAATCAATGAGAACAATTTCGTTGGAGTCAATGCCGTCCATGGCAACGAGTTCGCGTACGAAAATTTCGTAGGGGCTGTTTGGATCGAGAATTTGGAATTTGAGAGCAAGTGGATCACCAACTTCAGCTGATGGCATGCCCTCGTGTCCATCACGATCGGTTATTTTCATGGCAACATTAGGGGAATCAACGATCACTTCCTCGGATAGAGCTGGTGTTATGTCTCCTTGTACACCAAGGTCAACCTCATTTGATACAGTCTTGTTTGTTAAATCGTATTGACATGTAACAGCTAGACCCAAATCCGAGCTCGTGACGATGGTGTCGTGATGCTGAATAACAACGTCGTTGAGGTATCTTCCCAGTCCCTGTTGTTTGACATTACACTCCAAATCGTCGTACGCCATTTTGAGCTCAAACTCTAGGGCTCCTTTGATATCCTGAACACACGAGTTTGGTGAACCCTTGGCGTAAACCTTGCCGTTAAACAGTTTACTGGTTTGTATTCTGGCCACCATGTCACCAGCTCGACAATCGATGGTTACGTTGTAGCATGAGCTCAGTTCATAAGTTGAGGCCTGAGGCGCGTCTAAGTAGGGTTCCTGGTGGAGATCAATTATTCCATGAATTCATTACACTTGGAAATTAGTTTGTCGAAGAATCGGGGGAGGGTGGGGATTGTTTGGCGATTCGGCGAGTAATCGTTGACGACTTGAGAAGAAATCAGTTCTGAGGAAAAATGGGATGTTACGTTGAAGAGATGGTTTGGTGTGTTGAGTCAATTGAAATTAAAATCTCTTTCTGTGTGTGTGAGGAAGGGGGGGGGGCTTTGACAAAATTTTGTCCTTGAATATTGAGAAGTACATATTTGACTGTCACCCTGATATTTCACAAGGAAACACACGTGATCAAGTCGTCTGTTGTTCAAGAAGAATTTACAACTGAATGAGGCAAAAGTGTATTCACCTGAATGTCAGACAGCGTTGCTCTTGAGTGATGACTCAGTCTGCATACCATATCGCCGGTGTCACCGTAGTCGTAGGAGTGACAACGAAACGGTGAATTCAGGCAGAGTTCGCGACACTCCTCAGACGTGGCAATGTCCTGGTAGACGGAGTCTACTGTCTTGAGTATACGGCCAGTGAGTTTTTTGAATTCGCACAATTTCACGGGCTCGTCGACGCAGTGATTCTCGAGGAAATCGAAGTCCTTGGAGGTTTGGAAGGCGTTGGAGCCGGCCATTGTCAGTCTGTCCATGTCCGATAGTTCGCATACTTTGGAGGCGTTCGCGTAATTTGCGGATCTGGAAGCAGAAAGATAGAAAAATATTGAAGAGATGGGCGATTTTTTAGGCGATCATGATTTACTCCGGAATTTTCCATTCTCATTTGTTGAATATTAGGATCAAACAATTAGGGTCAGAATATAAAAGTAAAAAAAGTGGGTGTCAGGCAATGAGGGTCATACACTGTTAGAAATTTTTTGAAAATTAAGCAATAATTGCACTTGAATTCTCAATGTTGTGAATTTAAATCCAATTTAAGATCAAATCGCTCATGGAATCGCTTATTCAGGTTGAAAATTCGGGGAAATGTTTTCTTTCCATACAATATTAACCTATCCATAATTTTTGCTACCACAGCACCATCTCCCCCGCCCTTCCCCATAAAAACCCCATAAAAATCGCCCCATCACAGCCGTCGCCACCCCCAAAAAATGATCATTGAATCACTACAAAAGGCGCAATGTCATGCATACATCATCTTCGCTCGGGCGCGATCAATCTTGTTGTCGTTAATTTATCGTCACGGAAGTTTTCCCCAACGCCCGCCGGCGTAGTTACCACACAGGTGTAACCTACCTCATACACCGAACATTACATACCCACACCAAACTACCAGTGCAATAAACTTTAAACTCGAATGATTAACCGCGGGGTCTCCAATGCGGGTAATCTGTTTACGACTATTTTTCCTCCTACCTGTAATTATTATCATCAACTTTGTTTGTCTTACATTTTCATTAACCCTTCCCTCCCCCTCCCCTTCTCTCCCCTCCCCTCCCCCCCCCCAGCACCCCCGCACCTCAGCAACTTTCCTATCTAATTTTGTTTCACTCTTTATTCGTCGTGGAAAAATTTTTATATTGAATTTCCACCGAGTTACCGTCACAAACTACGTNGGGGGGGGGGGGGGGGGGGAGCAAGGGGTGACGAGGGAGTAGCAAATGCGTTTGAGTCGTATTTTCTCATTTAAACATCTTTTTACCCAGCCACACAAGGTGAATCGAGTTGACTTACTACGCGCAGATGGATGTTGACGCCTTTCGAATAAATTCAATTGAACTTACAGTGAAGGGGGGTGAGGGAGGCAAATGGGGGTACAGTTGCCTTTGAAGTACCCTCTTGACATTGGAAGACGAGTGTTCGAATTTCCATCCCGCAACCCCCCTCACTGCCCCCCCCCACCCCCTCCCCCATTAAATAGAAAATGAGCAGAGACAAACAAAAAGGAGAAATAAATGCTTTTACAATTTCATTTAGCATCGGGTAATTAATGACTGCTGGAGGGCTTTTATTTGTTCTGCATGTCTTTACGTCTCCTCGAGTGAGAGAGGGAGAGGGGGGGGGGGGAATTGGAACTGGGAAGTACTTCCGCACAAGATTCCACAGTACCCATGATAAAGCCCTCTGATTTGCTTCCCTCCCCCCTCCTCCCCTTCTCCTTTCTCTCATTCTTCTTTTACGGGACAAAAGATACCTCATTTCTTTCGTCTCTCTTTTTTCCACAACATCTCTCTCTCTCTCTCTTTCTCTCTCGGGGAGAGGGAACTTAGTGTAAACCTCCAGGGAAATTTTAACCTCTCAAGCAGATGTTAAATGCGAAGTTAACTTCAACGTTGCGACCACCACTGTTAACCCCACCCCCCTTCACCCC